CAAGGGGAGGGAGGAAAAGCAGGAAGGGGTGAAGAGGACGTCACGCTAAACCATGTTAATGTGTGTTTAAACAATTGTAACAAAGTATAACGTATAACAACTTTATATACTCGTTTATCCGATTTATTTAATCATTTTTTTCCGGTTTACTCAATTTATTTACTCGATTACTAGATTATTATACTATATTTATTTTTATTAGTCTATCATATACATTTACTTGAATAGTGTACTCGTTTATTCGATTTGTTTACTCATTTATTCGATTTACTGCTTATTTACTCGAAACGTTTACTTAATTTGCTTACTAATTTATTTGATCCATTCATCGGCCATTTAATCAATTTAATTACTTATTTACTTGAATTTTTTACTAGTTTACCGGATATGTCTCATTTATTTTATTTATTTACTCATTTCATTATTATTTACTTTATTTATTTACTCGTTTTTCCCGATCTACTACTTGTTTACTTAATTTTTTTACTCCTTTATTTGATCCATTCGCCCATTTACTCAATTTGTTTACTCGTTCGCCAGATACATTTACTAAAACTGTCTACTCGTTTACTTAATTTATTTACTCATTTATTCGATCCATTCATCCATTTACTCAATTTATTTAATTATTTACTCGATTTGTTTGCTAGTTTGCCAGATTTACTTAAACTGTTTGCTCATTTATTTATTTATTTTATTTATATATTCGTTTTATTTACTAAATAACGGAATATATTTACTCATTTACTATATTTGCTTACTTGATTTATGCACACGTTTACTCGATTTATTTACTCGTTTACATAATTTGTTTAATCGTTTGTCAAATTTTTTTTAGTCTCTTACTAGTTTAGTTTACTCGATTTTTTTTGTTAGATTACCAGATACATATTTTGCTTGAATCGTGTACTCATTTATTACTAGATTTATTTACCTATTTACCGTATTCCTTAAGACTTAACCGCGATTCAATGCTTTCTTCTTCCCATGCGTTAACGGGGTTTTTTTTTTAGATTATAACTACCTACTATATTATATTCCGTTTTGAATTATACAAATTCACAAAACACAATGTGTGTTAGTTCGTCCTATCCGGCAATACGACACGATACATAATAATATGCAGACCTTGTGGTTCGAAGGGTCATTGTAAATAATACAGTGCATATTACACTAAAAGCTATGACAATATTTAATATAGAGTCGTTCGTGATAGTAGTCACACACACTGCGGTACACATATAGTGCATAATATTAGGGTTTTTTCCTTTTTTTTATATAATAGCCTCGGCCCAAGGTAAAGTAAAACAAACTCGTTCCGTAGTAGGTCAGAGAAAAAAGTTTACAAAAATGGTTTTTTTTAAATATATATTTTGGTTGTATGCAGCAATTATTGTGTTACGTTACAGGGAAAAGTAGATGTACTAATAATAGTCAGTATCGAACCGCAATGTTAAAAATAATAATTTAATTATTTACAAGGGGAACAAAATAATAGCATGGATAGTTTTATTTTTTAATTAATTATCTAATACATTAATGGAGCAACGGTTAGTGTTTTTTTTTTCAGGAGAAATCATGTGATCAACAGTTCCCCCTCATTGGTTCTGAATAAAACAAAAATTGGCAATTTTATCAAACTAAATATATACATTTTTTAAAGAGATGGGAATTAATAAATTGCTATTTTAACGTGCCGCATTTGTGTCAGTCGGCAAGACGACAAAAGGTAAAAATATAAAATCTGTTCGTGATGTATTCATTCAAATGTCAACTGCTGCTTAAATATTAAAACAATTACTGACGTTTGAAAAATATGATTTGACTATTTTTGGCGCCACAAAGGGATGGAAAAAACCAACAAACAAGGGATTGTGATTCATTAATCACAATCCGTTTTTAATGATCGTTATACCTTTGTAATGTATACTATTGAATTCGCAGACACTTTAAATTTTGTTTTTTTTTTATTATTCTTTTGTCTTTAACCTCGACACTTGGAATTGGTCTTAAATGAAAAACGACAAATATCCCATAATCAAACCAAAAAAAAAAAATTATGATGCCTTGAAAAGAAAAAGAAAATCATAAAAGAAAATATAATTCCGATCGAGCTGTCATGTTAACACATTTTTTTATTTAATTTAATTTTATTTATTACTTTTTACTTAAGTCCGGTTCGGCCGATGGACCAAATCTGATTTGCAAGGTGATCAATGATCATTATTTATCGAAAACCACTCGACGATTTATTTGTTTTAACTAAACATAATGCGTAAAACTCGGTCCATATTGATTTTAGGACGACCAAAGTATTTTGAAAGAGAATTATTGATGAAAATATATTTTGTTGTCGATTTCCGCGCGAACGCCTTGTTAAATTTACCGTGACAACAATACAGTTTCGTTGCTTATGGGAAGTTCTAGATATAAATATAATATGATGACGACCATGGACAAATAAGAAAATTTGAAAACCCTCGAAATTAGATACAAGTTTATCATTTTATACGATTGTGCAATAAACCATGCGAACGACAGTCAATTCCAAACGGGTTATTACTTCTTTCAGCACAATAATAATATAGCTATAGGATATTATATAAATGCGTTATCCGCCATAGTTTTTCTGTTACAACAATATTATATTTTGTATGTCTTTTATACTCTTTGTATGTACCCAACTAAAGGCCATGTAATGGCTAATATACTTATTTATTGACAACCAAAAGCTACAATACTGCAACACTGCATTTTCATATTGCTCGTACATGGTTTGTATATTATTTAAAAAGATAATATTATGAAACAAATCAATAAATGTCCAAGAGTATAATTACAATAGAAACGGTTACAGGCCACCGTCACGTGTCGTAGAATACTATAATATTTATTTATGGCGATGAAATTTTAATAAGTTTACAGCTGACTTTATCATTTTGAGTAGTAGAGGAAAAAAACAACGCGATATTTAAAATTTATATTACAATTTTAATTATAAAAAAAAGAACTTAGCTCAATGTTAATTACTATCAAAATGGCATAAATAATATTGTATTTTCTAACTACCCAAAAACGGCATCACGAATAAGTCTTTGGCCTGGTTAGAGTAGATAGTTGTGTGGTTAAGAGCCAAAAGATATAATAAGTACAAAACAAAAAAATCGAACATGATAATTAACCTAGCACTTAGCACTTTAAATTGTTATCGACATATTATCATTTTTTTTTAAATCTCATTTGATATTCTACAGTTACCACATTTGGACACAAGACAATATTATTAATTTAATTTTTTAATTATTGTACAATTTGCATTTATCTCAACACATTAAACGCATTAGGGAAATTTACATTTTATTATTTATTTTGAAAATAACTTTTTGATATTGTTCAACACCTATATTATTTTTAAGTATACATTTTTATCAAGTTTTCTGTGTGCTATAAGCAACCGCGTTAAAGACTGCTTTGGCGATTACTTTACTTAACTATTTTATTTCATTACAAAATAATATATAAATTTATTTGACTACTGGGAATTGGGAATAGTGACAAACGAAAACGCGCCAAAGGGGAAAATTAGCTTAGCACAACTACAAACAATGACATATTGAATTGAAAACATATCCCATTGTGTGTTTCAAACGTTGTTTAAGTGCAACTTTTGCGTTGAACTTTTTTACACCGCGTTTTTAACTCTTGTCAAACGGGACAATCGTATCTTACCTATTGATAGATGTAATGTTTTTTATGATTTTTTTGTTTTGTTAATTGTTTATAAAAAAATATATATCTGCTCTAACTGTTGGTACGTCTGGATGGCATTGTGATATTATTATTAAAATGTACCGTCCAAGCCGCCGTTGAGCGATAACAACGTCGTTTACATTATACATATATAATATTAAAATATTTGCTCCTGTGCAGAGAACAATATCAGCACATCCGTATCCAGAAGAAAGGCCCTGTTCGAGAATAACACAAACACCCGGAAACCTTTATTGTAGCATCGCCGGAACAGTCACCGCCGACAGAAGATAACAACGCATAAAGGTCATCTCCGTAAAAATCCAAAAGGCAAAAACTCAACTCTGCTTCGCAGTCGAACCTGGACCAAAATAAATATATTTTTTTTTTTTTTACCTATATGAGTAGTCGTGTATTTGTGTGGCACGACAATTACTTAGCCCCATGTGTGTTCAGCCGGGGTCAACATTTTTAACAGATTGCCAAGTCACGCCTTTCTGACTTTGCGGAGATGAGCAAAGAGTTGTAACAAAAAAAAACCTCCCAGTTCTTGTCGATAAACTTTAAGCGCCTTTTCTTGAACACTCCTCGAGTAGAAAACTTTCTATAGACGGCCTGAAATTTTTAACCTTTGACCCGAGTCTGATGCGATCAATCCGCAATGTGTGACAATCAGGACCGTTGAACCGTTTATGACGTTAGATTTAGTTAAACACACTATATTAGGCATGTTAATCTGTCAAAAGAAGAAGGACAGCAATATTGATTTTTCTAGTTTAAAATCGATCCATGTTCTGATTGTGATTGGTAGAGTTACAATTTGGGGAAAAATAGATTTTTTTTTCGCCAAACGATGTTCGTTTTTTATTACAAGACCGGTAAAATGCATCCCATTGTTTGAACCGATTATTTATATTTGGTTGGATAATTATTAATCGAATCGTTGCAATTGTCGAACGGTCGGATACAATTATTTTAATAATTGTTTTATTTAAAACGGTTTTTTTCGCGTACATATGTATTTTTTTTAACAGAATGTTTTTTTCATCGTTAAACTCTGAAAATGTTTCATTAACATTTGATCTTATCTACAATAAAACAACATTTTAAATCATATTATGCTAAATCTGGATATTTTTTTTATTATTGAACAAGCCCGAATATTTAAATATAGTATACATTTTTGCTTAAATTTCTGTATTAAGTAGCTCACACTTAAGGCGTACAATTTGTTTTATTTTATTTTCCAGAATGATGTGGATTTCCTAACCGGGTGATGCTGAGTGATGAACGGCGGTCTAGAGTTGGTGACCGCCTTGGCAGTCTGTGGCGTGGCGGCCCTGGCCGCGTTCATAAACGGATATGTCTTGTTGGTCATCTTGCTCACCAAACGGGTAAACAAAAAATATCTCATTTAGGACGTTTAGGTCCCTTTTGAAATCTAAATACAGCACAAGTGTTTTTTTTTTTTAAATGTATTATAAATTTAAAATATGACATTATGACAGCAAATAGCACGCTGCTACCTTATGTCAGTGGACAGACGACCAAAATAAATACAGTTATATTTGTTGATTTTTTTTTTTACTTAAAATATTGATAATCGCTTATTATAAGAAATATATTTTTATAATGTACATTTTTTCGATGGTCTGTTAATTTTTTTTCTCTGTAAATTTTGAGGTTTTTTTCGTGTTTTTTTAATGAACTATTTAAAATAAGTGGATCGAGTTATTAGTACAATTATTTAAGCAATGCTCCAAGTACAGGTAAAGTCCTACTCTGTTTAATGTGAGCATTTGGTGCTTTTGTAACAACTCAAAGACACTTTGTGATTTGGATTCGTGCAAAACTATTGTGTTGGGAAGACAAGTGATTTTTTGTAGCTGTACTTATAAGGAAATCCGTATTATTTTGTTCCCTTTACACATTTCAGTACATTAAGATGTCATAATATTGTACTTTGGTCCATTGAAAGTAATGGGTAGATATATATATATATATATATATATTACAATAAAAATAATTGTACTTTGAAACATAAAAGTGAAAACAATATGAATATAAATCATTCGACGTCATTATTTCTTGTCGCTGTTTGTTCTTTTATTGGAAACGACAAAATAGTAATTGTGATGTACGAATAAAGATTAATAGCCAAGTTTTTTTTAATTTTCATAACGCTGAACTAAAGCTTAAGTTCCTCAAACGCCCCAGTTGTAATAAGACCCATTGTAAATGATATTATTCAGACTCGGGTCAGGTAAACGTAACGTAACGCTTGCTACCAATATTATATTAGATATACTACAACAACAATAAGACCACCTTATTAATTGACTCTATATATTACACTGTGATGATCCCTATTTTCCGTGCATTGTGCATGGGAAGGTTTCGGTCGAACCGTTGAAATATGGTGGACAAACAAAGGTCTTTGAAACCTTCAAATAAATAATGTCATTTAAATGTAGGAGTTATCCAGTCATCCAAATTAGTCGACGGTCGTTTATGACTTGTCCCAAAGGTTAGGTCCGTTCCTGGATGTTTATTTGGACTTTTTTCGAATCACTCAAGACCATAATAATTAGTCGAATGGAACAAACTTATGCGTTCTTGCAAACACAAACACTTAAATAAAGTTTCTAAAAAATTAAAAAATAATATTATCTACGATGAATGGGTTAGGCCTTTCTCCATATTATTTATTATACAATATTTAATTTCGGTCTAACCATTTAAAAAATTGATCATAATAATATATTCGTTTTAACGTCGAGGTGTTGGGCAACTAGTAACTCGTGTTGTTTTACTAAATTACTTTTGTAACAAAGCCGAGAACAAGTGTTTTTTTTTTTTGCAAGTTGAATTAAACATGAAAATAATAAACAACTTTTATATTAAAAATTCTTTGGCGCAATTCTGTATAATATAACCATATATATATATATATCTAAACTGTGTAAATAATGTAAATTATCCGGTAAACAATGTTCGAAAGTTTTTCATGTAAGCGCAAACACAGATTAAGTCTTAGACGTATTAATTTAATTAAATAATTTCGGTTTAAAGCTTACCCGAAAAGTTGTGACTAGAAAAAAAATATTCGCAATGGAAGTTGAAAGGTTTGACTCGCTTGACCAGTGCGGTCGGTGATTATGAAAAAAGTTTTGGAGAAATATTTCCAATACTTGTTTCAGAGTATATTTATAAATAGAACAGACTTTTTTCCCCGTTGTGTTGTTGTTAGACCGCCAGAAGGCACCATTAAAAAGGCCAATTGCGTTTTAAAAAATTCATTCGTTTTATTGAATTTTGTGGTGTTTAAAACAACAATAATCACACCCTTTCATTATTACTATACTTACAAATCCTATGTATATATTTGAGATTATCACCCCTAATCCTTAACCTTAATTCAAAAACCACCCACCCACGTGGTCTACGCTTTCAACACTGGTCGATTTCATTATCAATTATTTTAGTAATATGTTTTTTTTTCTTAGCCTTCGGTTCCTTTCCCGTGAGTGTCCATTACCCTGTAGGTATTATATTGTATGTAACAATGTATAATAATGATAAAAAATACATATGTATATATTATAGAACCAGATATATATTATAGCCACCAGTGGAAATTATATATTAAGATAGGAAACATAATAGTGATCAGGATGTCGATTGATAAAGGGAATCAGCTGATAAGAGATATTATGATAGTGATAAGAATAACGATTGATACTATGCGCTTTAGAATTTTTTTCTTTCAATAATCAGAATGTATTTTTGCACGGTTTTTTTTGTACATAGATACTAAAAAAAAATTAGAATCCAATTAGGATTTAAACGTAGGTACATACACACTTAAACATATGACTTATTCAATGCCTACTTGGAAATAATTTTCTTTAATAATGCATTTTTGATTAGTATTTCTACGCCTTAATGGGATTTATGAACACAATCGAAATAAAAATGATCTTTTCTACATGGCCATTTTTTTTATTAATAATAAATTGTCGTCGGGCGGGTTCCTCCGTGCAATATAATAATATAGGTAACAGGTAATATTGTTGGTGTGTATCGAATAGATTCATAAAATACTTTCATACACGTTTGTTTATTGCCGACCACCGGCCATAGACAATGGCCACAGTATATCATTTATTAATGTAATTCGTGTTATTATATTTGTACACGGCCGTGGAATTCCGAATGAGTTACAGTTGTTAAGTCCATAAAAACGTTGAGTTTTTATTTCCATTGCGCCAACGTCGACTGGTACTCATAAATTTCCCATTGCATGCGGTCTAAATAATTCGGTTTGATAGCTAAATAAAATATTTGTATGTATTGCACTGCGCTAAGAAATTATTCGAATTTAGTTCAGACTTCAGTAAAATTGTCAAATAAGTTTTTAAAATTTTAATATTACAACACAACAGTATACCCGTTTCATCAGAATAGCATTATTATATTCAATCAAAAACGGTACTTGTATTTTAATTTATTTTTTAGAACCTTTGTGTAGCAGTAACGAAATAATGATATGAATCAATATAATATATGAATAAATTTAATGTTATAGGAACCAAAATTGAAGTACCTAACCTAAAGGTTCCATTCCTGCATTGAACTGATATAATTTTGGTTTAAAATGAATAAACTCATTACAAGAAAATGGTAAAACGTTATTTTTGAATATTCAGAATAAAAATACCGTTTTCAAAGTTAGTTTTGTAGATTAACTTTTAAAAGTCAAATAGCAATCCGTATGTAATAAAAAAATATAAGAATAGTCGGTAATCACATAAGACAATTGTTATCCTGTCTAAAACTACTTTTAATTTAACGGCATTGTTAAGACAACAATATGCTAAAAATTGTATTTTTAGTGTTACAAGATATCATACTATTAGATCTGTCTATAACAATTCGTTGCTCTTGTAACACATATTGAAGATAATTGTCTAGATACCTGTTGACTGATTCATTGAGACAACCTGGGATATTTACACGGGGTGGGTGTGACCTTTTTTGAGGGGTAAAAAACTGAGTATAGATTTTTGAGAAAATTGTATATTTTGTTATAGCCCCACTCTAGATAGTCCTGCAGTTTGATCATCATAACATCCTGTATAATAGTCTCATATAATAAATCCTCAACTCCTAAGACGTTCCATCTCCACTATTGTGGTGGGTTTTTTTTCAATGGACAATTTCACCTCTTTTATAACGACCTTACTGGAAAAGATAAAAGCTTCAATTTAAACACTGTTCAAAGATTTATTTATGACGACGGTAGTGTTCATTCGTTCAACACTATGTCTCTTTTTTTTTTTGGCTTTTTTATCTGAGTAAAGTGCTTCCAATGTTTTGCATTGTCTCGAAACGAGCTAACGCTAAATGTGTGTACTTACAAAAATGAAAACGTACCGAACCAATGCGCAATGCCTGTAATTCAGTTACCCACAACAAGTCGGTCCATCCTGAGACACTTTCCGGATGTTTTTACAATTCCATTATGGCTCTGCATAAGGCCGCTTCCTAGTGTGTCGGTCGCCTTTTCCCGGGAAACTTATTAATATATCATGACATATTTTCGTTGTTGGTTTATGTCCTGTATATTTATATATGATATGGGTGTACCTTATTTTCCTGTTTTTGTTTGTTTTCCTTCTGAAAACGTACGACGGAATTCCTGAAGGGATCGATACACAAAGTGCTTGGACAAATTTTTTTCTTACAAAATAAATATTAATATAGTAATATACATGTTTGGAAATCGCTAGTTGCCATTAGGTATAGTATTTTGTATATATATTGTCCTGCGGGCAGAGTTGTGCAAATTCTTATTCGAATCATTATCTCTTTCACTACTGACATTTGTGTAAGTAAGTAAGTATATGTTTTAGTGTGTTGCAAAAATTGTATGTGCACTGTTCAACCTAACCAAACCTAACTTTTACTCGAATAAATTTGCAGCTAGCTGATTATAATTTAGATAACGTTTTATTCGAATGATGCACAACTCTGTCTGTAGACAGTGGTGTTTCTTGTATTTAAGGGGATTGCATGCGGTCGGTTTTCAAGGAGTTTTGTATAGGCAATATTTAAGCATAATATAGCGATTATGTTATGTTGTTTACCGTCTGTTCGTTTTTTTAATGGATTTCCGTACTGTTAAAAATATAAAAAACTTTTTGAATACAATCATTTTTTTTTCTTACGAATACATAGTGCGCAACAGTTACACAAGATTTCATCCTGTTAGTCGGAAAGCAAAACTTAAATTAAGTTTTTTCGACAGCTATTCATTCGCAAAACTCACAACCTTTACATAACAGTTCGCCGAAAACGCAATTAAATTAAACTGACGTAAAAGTCGCCTAAAAAGAAACCCAATTTTCCGATGTGGGTGTCATTATTATATTTATATTGTTTTTTTTTTATATGATACAAAGTAGCTGTCGAGTTACATTGAATAATACTCGGACACAATAAAACCACAAATGTTAACCATCACTTGTCGTTTTTAACCTAAAACAAATCCATTTTCCCCATATTAAGCTCCTCCTCTCTCTCTCTCCTTTTATTATAAAAAATAGGCAATAAGTCGCTGTAGATGTAGGATTTTAGGAAATACACAGTTTTTTTTTTTGTTAAATTATAGAATATTTCTGAAAATGTTAGGCGAGTATTGATTTTACTTGGAGAAACCTATTTTTTTTTTTCATTTCCAAAAAGGAAAATAATAATAAAAACGTTCATCAATATTCTATCGTATCGCATCTTAAGTGTACGACAATGGCAAGACTGCGCATTACAACTGTAAAACCGCGTCTCTACATATTAAATTTTTCAATTTAAATATCATAATGTCGTTTATTTTTCAAATTGCAACCGTGCGGAACCGGAAAAATTAGTACTTTCAAATAGGAAGCAAAACGTTTCTTCCTGTAGTCGCGTTTAGTTCCTAATATAGCATTATTAACAGCTGTAAGCAAATTGTTTTTTTACTATCCACAAGTCCTGTCTTATTCTAGTTCATAACCAATATAAACAACATATTGAAAACCTATTTAAAATAAGTATATTAATTGTCATACATTGTCCATTAAAAAAAAGTTGTCGTTAAAACTGTACCTCAATTTTGACAACTTTACATTGGTTAAATAAAATGTACAGTCGACAACCTTAAAGTTTTCCTAAACAAAGGTTTAAGAAATTAACTTTCTTTTTTTTTGGCTCTTTAGTAAAACACACAATGGATAATATTAGAAGTTTATGGACACAAAAGTCTCTTTCAATTGAGCTCTCACAAATTTCTTTTGACTTTTATTTTCCATTGAATTTTTTTTATAAATAACGTTTAAACAATACACATATTAAAAAAAAAATTGACGATTAACTATATTTTGACTCGTGCCGATTGATCATAATAATATAATATAAATTTACAAAAATTTGTTTTTGTATAATATAGCCGGCTTTAAAAAACAGATAGTCGGTGGCCGAATGACGCACAACTGATATTTGTAGTACTGGCATTAAAAAAACAACATGGTAGTACTTAGCATGTAAACAGTAAAAAACCTATACTTTTTCGGTTTCTCATCGAAGCTGAAATACTAAAAACTATAAACCATTATTGAAACACATGTTTTTTTTTTCCAATTCGAACAATGGTAAATAAATATATGGATACAATCAAAATAATGATACAATACATGTTCATCCCAAGTAATATTAATATATATTGATTATTTAGATGAAAGACAAAAAAAAAAAAAAACAGTTTTGCACACTATAATGATGTGATCTTTAGGTGTGATCTACTTAGAGTGTACAATAAAATGTATTTACAAAATCTTATTTTGATTGGTACAATACAAATATTTTAACAGCGATCGAAATACCTTCTGGGTTGTATTATTTTGTGCGTCAGTCTGGTGTTTGTTTAGCTAATCGCTTTGCCCGATCATCGTTATAATAATAATAATAATGCCATATTCAGTTGATACAACTTGTTGATTTTGTGTGGTTGTTCTGGCTTTGTTACTGCTCGACCAATGATCTCTAAATCGTTCAAAGGTAAAACCGAAATAGCGGTAACATCACAACGCGGTTCAGCATTTTGTTGTGCGTCCGTTTCAGTGGTACATCTGGATTTATTATTTGCTTAATTAAGTTTGAACATTGGGCAAGTTCTGCTTGTAAAATAAATAAATATAAAATTATGAGCAAATCGATAACGATGCATGTACACAAAGCCACTGATCCAAAACTAGACCCAACAATCGAGAAGAGCCAAATGATATTTAATTAATTGAAAAAATGCTTAAGAGTTCTATCCAAAATTAAGGCACCTACTCTGAAACAATGAAAGACTGAGTAATCTAAGTAGCTGTGTAGCATCCCTTAAGAAATTTTGCTCGGCTGTTTTTTTTTGTCGTTTTAGACAAAATAGCTAAACAAAATTTCGACTACTTGATCCTTTAGGCTACAGTTGCTGTTGTACCTACACTATTTGATGTATTGACCGTTTGAAAATATTATGTTTTCCAGACCAGTTCACCGATAAACGTGTTGCTGATCCATTTGAGCACCGTCGACCTGATAGTGTGCGTGGCAGTGCTCGTGTCCGCGTTACCGGAAACGTTCAATCCGGATCGACCGGTCGCACCGTGGTTATGTCCGGTCCACGGTTTCCTATTCACATTCTTACACCCAATGGCCATTTGGACGGTGTGCGGCCTAAACTGCGACAGGTACCTATTGCTATGAAGCTTATTGTTAGATGGTAAATAGTACAAAAAAAAAACAAAGTACATGTATATGTATAAAGTGTAAATAAATAAGACTTTTTTGAAATGAAATGTAGATATTTTGAAAAGCACTAATTTTAAGTTTTTAATATCCCAAACCGCCCCTCCTCCCTGCTCTGCGCCAATGGTGTTACAGTGCCCATCTATATGCATCTACCTATCAACCCGGTTTTCAGACTTTAAGTCCTATAATTACAGCTGAAAAGTGAAATAAAATAAAATTGTCTACCCTTTTCCTTCAGAAAGGGTTAATGATATTTCATCACTAGCCGGTTTCCATTTCTCTCGTTCAACCCATTTAATAGACTTATTATACAGGGATGATTCATTAACGCCAAGACACATTTATTTTTTCTTGGAATAATTTTGCAATTTTGTAGTTTTTCTTTTTGGAAACATTCTTGGCCAATGTTATTTTAATATATTATAAAATTACTAATTATTTATACTTTTTAGTATTTTTCCAGACCACTTTTGAAACTGGTAACGTATATATATATAATTATATTTTTTTAATTAAGAATGATTTCATCGAAAATTTAACTAACTATTCAAGTTCAAAATTTACAATACTCGGCCTGAATTTTAAACTTTAAAAGCTATTCATCCAAAACTAGTTATAGATTTGGATCAAATTATTCTGAATTTAAAAAGTCAACTAAACACAATAAACGTTACCGTTTAAGTTTTTTTTTTTTAATTTTCAGAAGTCTGAAAAAATTATTATATTGTCTATTATTTTCAGACTCGGATGAACACTATCGTGGCCTTAGGCACCTTTTTTTTTTCATTATAAAATATCATAAACTACCATATTATGGTATTTATATATTTTATATTCTTGTACAAAAATGATTGCTTACAAATTTAATTCCATACAAAATGATTAAATTCTTATTACGCGTGCTAAAGCAATAATAATAATACTTATCTAATAATATATATCAAAAAAATGCGCAATGCGCAAATATGGTTAATTAATTTTAAATTAACATGAACTCCAAAAAAGAAAAGCTAGACAATTGCAATATTATTTTAAGACGATTGTGTCAAAAAAATCGATGTCGATAAAATGGATGAAAATTGATTTTTGTGAAATCTTATGGCCTTTCCATTTCAGATACTATGCGATAGCGTCGCCTTTGCATTACGGCACGTTAGTGAACAACCGCAAGATAATGTTGGGCCTTTGCGGCACTTGGATCGTGTGCTTGTTGATCTCGATGCCGCCGGCTTTCCGGTTGATCCCGTACACTTACCTGCCGGGCCTGCCCGTCTGCACGCCGGACTTCAGCTATGGCCGGGCTTCTTCTGTGTTCTACAGCATCTTCTACACGACCGTCACTCTGGTGCTTCCCGGTGTCATCATACTGGGGTGCAACATAAAAGTAAGTCAACCTCTGTCATGGTCTGTGGATTGTAAAAAAAAAAAATTAATTCAAATTAATCGCTCGATATGATGAGTTGGAGTACTCTAACCGTAGTTTCGGCTCTCCAGTGAAGGTATTTTTTCGCATAATATTAAATAGGTCAACAGTATTTCACACAATACCGTTTTAAACGCACAGAACAATATAATCATGATACGATAGGGTCACGCTTGTCCTTGTAAAAGCTTATGGTGTAGTACTTTGAGAAACACCGAAAAGTTTTTGAATAAAACACCTCGTTATGTAAATGCAACAGATAATGTTATAATAATTATGTACACATTACACAGTACTAACATGTTGTTTTTGTTGTTGTTGTTGTTGTTGTATTACCTTGCCAAACTTATAAACCGCTAAACACGAAAATAGTTTGCGAAACAAAAGTTTTAAAACAATGTCGTTGTTTCAAGTTTCTCATCAAATTTGAGTTTCGTTATGAAATATAATATTATATTATTACTGCAAGAACCCCGGATTATATTAACACAGCAATTTTAATAATTTGTTTTAAAAAAAAAAATACATACATAAATTTAGTTTAAATAATATAGTTAAAATAGACAATTATGTAAAAATTCTAATAGTCACAATTTGACAAAGTCGATCAAAGCTTTTTAAACTATTCGAACCCTTAACTTGGCACTATACCAATCGCTTAAGATGCAGAACTTTACACGACCTACGCTTACCCAAAGTGTACTGTTATTATAACTATTTTCAATATTTGAAAAGTGCCTTTTGCCAGAAAAATGTCGTCGTCAATTTCCGCGTTTAGCTGGAATGAACGAAAAATGACAATTTCTAAGTTCAAGTGTCAAGTTCAAGATGTCGGACATAAAAAGAATGATATAGTTTCCCATTTGTTTATTCCGTACTATTAGCTTGTCTATTTTTTAATGAACGGGTTAAGTCACAACTCAAACAGTGTCCAACAAACTACCAACGAATTTGTTCGTTCAGTTTAACTAATGTCTGCTAAGGTCGTGCTGCTAACTTTGTGAAGGTAGTTAAGTCAATACAAATTTTTCTTGAATTTAAATTTTTACTTTGTTAGACTGTAGGTAAGTCAAGTAAACGAGTAAATAAATCAGTTGAGTAAATGCATATGGTCAACAAACGGAGTAAACTACAAATAGTAAACTAAACGAGTTCCAAGGGTTTTGCAGATTACTAAGATTAAGATTCAGATAAAGTGGATAATGACAATTCATAATCATGTTTCAGGTATTCACCATTGCCCGGTATCACAGGCACAGGATAGCCTCGGCCATTTTCGAGGTGACGCTGTCCGCCCAAGTGACCATAACGCACCAGCGGAACCCGTTCTTCCTGCCGGCCGGCGTGGCCAACAAGCTGCGCCGGAACAACGCGTTCTCGGCCGTGTTCCAGATAATCGGCTCGCTGGCCGCGTTCTACGTGCCCTACTATAGCGTGTCGCTGTACGAGTCCATGTGCGCCGCGCTGGACGTTTCGCCGGACACCGACCCGGCCGTCAAGTCGCTGTCGTTCGCGCTGATCACCAGCTCGGCGCTGTGCAACGGGCTGCTGTACGGCATCAAGAACAAGCTGCTGAAGAAAACCTACCAGAACTACCGGCGCAAAATGATGACCAAGTGCGAGGTCAACCAGGAGATCCAGGCCAGGACGCCGTCGGCGTGCGGGTCCCGGCGACCGTCGCTGACGCCGGTGGCGTCGAACAGCTACAGGCCACTGCCGCTGGTCCGGCGGTCGTCCGACATGAGCCTGACCGAGCCCGGCCAGCTGAGGCGCATCAAGGCCACCAGCTCGGCCAACGGGCTCAACTTCGGCAACTACTACGCCGACCTGGCCGCCAAAATCGACAACGGCTCCATCAGGCGGTGCCGGTCGTCGTGCAACGGCGACGCGGCCGCGGCCGCGGACGGGTTCGCCGCGCTGCCCGCCAACCGCAACTCGTTCGTCCGGAAAATCCTACAGGACTCGTGCAGGAGGTCGCCGCGGATACTCATCACCCGGGCCATGTCCGAGGAGAACGAGTCGTACACGTCGGAACCGAACACGCCCGTCAGGAAGGACCTCGTCCACAAGCTGTCCTCGTCCAGCGTCACCCTGTTCATCGACGAGAGGAGGCGGGCGCGGGGCGGTTCTTACGGGTTGCACGACCGCGAAGACGACGACGACGACGACGACGAAGACGAAGACGTCTCGCCGGGCTACAGCAGTCTGTCATCCAGCAACGACGACAGCAGTTGTGCCACCCAAGCGTGCACTCGTTTCAACAGAATGTCCACGTGAAGCGCGTCCACCCCTCACCAAAGTCCCTTTCGGAAATTCCCAATAATGACGGAATTTCCTACACCGCGAACCACTCAACATCTCATAGGATTTAATGGGAAATTTATACAGTATGATCTTGTTTTTATCCCCCACCACTGGGTGTACTTATTTTTATATCAACTTTTGAAACTTAAACGATAACGTAGATTATAGGTCATATAGTAAGATTGTAGGTGATGTGCCAGAGCTAAGACATGGAAATGTCAAAAAAAAATTTTAATTTCTTATTAAACCCTATGAGATATTGAGTGGTTCGCCATAAAATTATCACCCCGCATATGGGAAATTCGACTTGTAGGAAGCCGCCATTTTGTGACTAGTTATTGTTTAGTAAATGATTTATCAAATATGTGTTATCATCATATTATTATCATCTAACCTAAAATTTTAATATGTATCATGGAAAGTAACGTATCATATTTTTTATTTTCCATGAAATCCGTACACAAAATGGCTGCCTCCCAGGTCGGGATATTTTGCAATCTAAACACGCGTTCCAGGCTGCTTGCACGGCCAAACCCGACCATTAGGTGGTACAACCCGTCCAGTTTGTCTTGATCCTTAGATCCTTTACAAAGGACAGAGCTACTATCCGTGTTTCCACAGAACTGGTGTATAGAACGCGCGTAGCCTACAGCGGGCTGTTTATTAAAATGTCCACTATGGGAAGGCCGCCATGATGTGAACAGCTGTAATTGTTTTTTCCATGATTTATCAAATATATGACTGTGTTAACAGCTAACCTAACATATTGATATATGTTTGCTCGATCCGTTGTACATGATCTAAGTCTCGAACCCTGGCGACTGTTACCTTTTTAAAATTATTAGGGATTAGTAAAACCATCCGATGCACATAAGTGTGGCCGACGCTTCTTATAATGTGTTTTTTTTCTCACTTTGTTTCAAGTAAATAAAGACTAAAAATGTACGAGTAAACACAAACACTATCGCGACAAGCTAATAAATTTGTTTGTTTTCCGTGCAAGACGTTCAATATGAGATCAAAAACTATACGAGTGTTGCCAAACTCATTTTCCCATTTTTTAGATGATATTTGAAACTTATGATAAGAAAAAAACTAAATCAAATATTTATCGTATTGTATTGTAATTTTTTTTTTGTAAATTATACGTAGTTTAATGAAAAAAAACGACCATATTATATTATAGTATTATTTTTTTCAAAGAAAACGTCAGTATTACATTACAAACGCGTTATGTTGTTTTTTTTATGTTTGTTTACATCGTTTTAGCAAATCGAGAAAAATATATTTTATTGTTTTTTACAATATTGTTATTGCTTAAAAAATATATAATCGGTCGCTGCGTTATAAATGTAGTCTATGCAATTACTTAACGCTGTATGTCTAATGTACATTATATATTCTGTAGATTAAACAAATATTGTATAACATACAATGTCGTATCTAGTCAGTTATGTTTAAGATAATAATTATTATAAAAAAGTAAAATAACTTAATAAATAATAAAGTTAATGTCCTCCCTCTCCCCTACAGATCTCGATTCAACGATAATAATATTATGTAAGTAAAGTTAACCATACATTTTGAAATCACAATTATTACAATAATTTAAGTATATTATTATCATCATATCGCTAGAAAACCTTACCTTTGTAAAAAAAAACTATCGTTTACATTTGTACCGCAAAAAACAATATACATATGAAATACATAAATATATCAAATTTAAAACAAATTTTAATAATACCCTATAATTTATAGAGTATAGATTTCATAGCAAAAATTTATATATTTCCTAAAAATGTATAATATTATTATATTAGTTATATAAAATAAATCTATTATATGATATTATTTTCAACCAAAGTTTATATTGTCTAAATAGTATAGTTCTAATATTGGTAAAAATATGGTTTTAAAAATCAAAGTTTAATCATATCGGATTCAATTTAAATATAAATACATATATAAAACAAACTGTAATATTTAAAACATATAATATCGAAAACCCAATTATTGTTGTTAATTATACATATTTTTTTAGTCCATATTTTATTTTTAGCCTCAACGTTAATGATATTTTTGAACATGACGTCGATTTTAATAATTATTATAATATGATGTTAAAACCATGCTTGTATTGATTATTGTTTTATTTCCAAAGTTACCATGTTGACAAAATATTATACACACTTACTTAATAAAGTATATTACTATTATATATTATAATATACAAATGGAATTAGCGATTATCATGTGATTGTACTAGTGTTCCTACCGACTTAACCAAACTTAAGTAGATTTTTAATTGTTGCAGTTGAGAAAACAATAATTTAGAACTTATGTTGAAATTCCCATTTATTTACAAAGCAATATGAATAACGCAGTATAATATTATATTATACTGTAACTTATTATTCCCCTAGTCCGCATTAACAAACTATAAACCATTTATATTATTATGATTAGGTAGGTACCGAAAGTTGCCATAAACTCTGATAAATATATATTATGTAAAGTACATACTTAGGTAATTATTGTACATTATAGTGTGCATAAGGGAAAAACTAGGTCAAACTAGGAACAACTCGACGGCATGTTTATTGTCTATGTACTTTTATTTGTGAAACCAAGGAGTATAACAGTTATTAATGTAGCGCCTATTTGACATGATATATATTGGTGTAGTTTTATAAATATAATATTGGATTAATTCTTCAATTTTAAATTGTATTGAATTATGGTCGAGCGTTTATCGAAGAGTATGTTTTCGACGGCTTTGTCGTGTGCTGACTTATCCGTTTCCGCCGGCAAGACGATTGCTTTGTGGTTTTTCATAGCCACCTTCAAGAACGCGTCCAACACGGTCAACTGGCTGCTGATGATCAACCGCAGGTTCTCCACCGTCATAGCGCAACTGTATTTGGGCGGGGGATGTTTGATACGGTCGTGCAGCAGCGTTACAAACTTGTCCCCGCGGTTGCTGACGGTTTGCTCGTAAGTCGAGAATTGGACTAACACGGTGCGAACCGGTTTCAAGTGCATCGGATCGACTTGGGCGGGCGAGGCGAACCGGCTAACGCGATCGGTCATTTCGAAATCGCTGTAGAACTTCAAGTAGTCGGACAGGTACACAAGAAACGTGGCCTTGGCCGTCTGGTGCGCCAAAAACGAGTAATCTTCCAGCAAGTCGGCCCGGTATTCGCGGGTGACTTCTTCGTAAACTCCTTGAACGGATCTGATCAGCGCACCGTTCCAAAGCCACTCGACTTCGGTGTAAATGTCTAAGAATTTGGACGGATCCGGAACGGCTGAGGTGGCCGGCGAAGAGCCGTCGCGGTCGTGCAAGTCCAGCAATTCGGGCAACGGTAGTTCGTCGAAGAACATCTTCAACCGTTCGGCCACCTCGGACATGGTGCCCACGGCCAGGTCTTCTCCCGCGGGATAATCTACTACCCCTTGCACGTAGTTGTCCGGCCGATTCCATTTGGACCGCGGCCACTCGCAATAGTCCTCGGCGTACCGGTCGACCATGTCCCGGACGGTGGCCTGCATCAGGGTCAATCGCGAATACTTCTGACCGTTGCCGTTGCCCCAGAATTCCGCTGTTGCTTCTTGCCCGTTGGCGAAACGATCTAGGGTCTGCGCCAAGTTCAGCGTGGCCTCGTCTTGTTCGTCCCTGGACGGTATCTCGCGGCTCAACGCCAGGAAGACCCGCGACCACAACGCCAACGCACTGCCGGCTTGTTTCACCGAAGGTCTCACCAGGTTCTTCCAGTTGGCCAGGTAAACGGTGTACGGTAAGCCGGTTTGACCTCGCAAACTCTTCACGACCACTTGGGCCGTGAGCGAGTCCAACGCGGCCGTCCAACGTCGCATGCGGTCGCAGAATTCGCAGCCAAGAAACGTCCGGACTGCCCTCAGCGATGGCTTTAACTGTTCCATTGTCAAGGAGTATTGACGGCACTTGGCCACGGCATCTTTTCTCAAGTCCCCCAAAGTGGCGTCGTGGATCTTCCAATTGTCGTGGTACTTCCAAAACGGATCACTTAACAGCGTGCACAGTTTTTTCCTATTCGGAAAATCGGTCGAACGCACGTGGTCCGCACACCATACGACGACGGACACGAGCAAAAGCACCACCGACCATTTCATACTTAAGCCGCCGGTTCAACGAAGAAACGAAAACACTGGCGAATCGATAAACGTCTTAACTGTAACGCACAAAGGTACGAAAACAACACACACACACTATCTCTACAGACAAGTGTTCCCAATTTCGGCATAATTTATCACCTACTAGCTAGGGCTTGTTAACTACACAACAAATTGTTTTTCAACGTTAACATAAAAAAAAACGGTATTTCGTATTGACACGAGTATCGCAGATTTACGCACAACTATGCAAATATAACGGGTGACTCTTATTTAAAAAAAAAAAAAATACGATACTTCAGTTATACCGTTTGAAAATGATGGGAATTGTTATTTTGCAAAATAGGGTCAGTTGTGTTGATCGTTGTCACCAGTGATTCCCGCATTGCCTGCAATTGGCTAAGGTTTCCCGGCATTTGATTGATGTCCATCAAAATCTCCAACTAATACAACCCACCCTTAAAAGTCACGCAAAACGCAAATTATGTCAACATATTTGTTTAGTCCACATTTTATTATTGGCGTTTACGGTTATATTTTCTTTGAACATAACATCATTCTTAACCATTATGTATAATGTATATTATGACAAAACCAGGCCTGTATTGAATATTATATTTTATTTTAAAAGTAATCTTGTCTTTAAAATATTGTATTCACTTGCATAATAAAACACATATAAGTAATTATTTATTTTTTTATTTGACAAACCAAGACATAAAGTAATCGTTTTTAAGTAACGCATAATAATATTGTACTGTTATAGTTTAAAATATGTTAATTGAACTAGTACCTATACAAAATCGTTTTGTGGGGGAATAACAACAAATCATTGAAGTAATTTATTCATCTCGGTATATCCGTGAACTTGAGTATAATAACTAACCATCAACGTGCGTTTTGAGAAGATTTTTTTTTCGATTGTTTTATTCTTTGACTTTTCCGTTTTTGCCGGCAAGTCGTTTGCGTTATTCATTATGGCTATCTTCAAAAACGCGTCCAATGCGATCAATTGGTTTCTGATGATCAATCGCAAGTTTTCCACCGTTAAGGTACAACCGTAGTCGGGCACGGGTTGTTCGATACGGTATTGCAATCGCCTTAAGAACTTGCCGCTTTCTTCGTGGGCGGAAAAATGCTTTACCATTTTCCGAACGTGTTTCAAGTGTTGTGGATCTTGATCGTGGAACATGCCGAATCGGCTGGTGTGTTTTTTCATTTCGAATTTGCTGTAGAACTCCAAGAAATCGGAAAGGAACACAAGAAACGTGGCTGTCACCGTCTGGCGCGCCAGAAACGAGTAATCTTCCAGCAAGTCGGCCCTGTATTCGTACCGTACTTCTTCGTAAACGTCTTGCACGGACCTCATCACGCCTTTCCATAGCCACTTGACATCGGTGTCGCGTTGCAAGAATTTAGAAGGACAAGGAACGGTCGCCGGTGAAGAGCCTTCGCGGTGCAAGTCCAGCCATTCGGGCAGCGGTAGTTGGTCGAAAAACGTCTTCAATCGTAAAACCACCTCGGCCATGGTCTCCTTGGCCCGGTCTTCTCCCACGGGATACTCTACCCCTTCCCGGTTCCATTTGGACTGCGGCCACTCGCAAAAATCCTCGGCGTACCGGTCAACCATGTCCCGGACAGTGGCCTGCATCAGAGTCAACCGCGAATACTTCTGACCGTTGCCGTTGCCCCAGAATTCCGCTGTTGCTTCTTGCCCGTTGGCGAAACGATCCAGGGTCTGCGCCAAGTTCAGCGTGGCCTCGTCTTGTTCGTCCCTGGACGGTATCTTGTGGATCAGCGCCAGGAAAACTCGTGACCACAATGCCAACGCACTGTCGGCTTGTTTCACCGAAGGTCTCACCAGGTTCGTCCAGTTCTCCACGTAAACGGTGTACGGATTTCCAGTTTGACCTCGGAAACTATTGACGACCACTTGGACCGTGAGCGAGTCCAAGCCGGCCGACCAGCGTCGCATGAGGTCGCAGAATTCGCAGCTAAGAAACGTCCGGATTGCCTTGGTCGATGCAGTTAACTCTTCTAAAGGCGAGGAATACCGAAGTTCCTTGGCCGCGCCGTCTTTGATCAAGTCTCCCAAGGTGGTGGCGTCGCGCATCTTTAAATTCTGGAATTTTGCCCAAAAAGGATCGTTCAACAACGTGCACAGTTTCCTCCTCTTTGGAAAATCTCCGGAATCGATCGACCGGACGTGACCCGCACACCATACGACGGACAGCAAAAAAAGCACTGACCATTTCATACTGAGGCCGTGGCGAATATAACAGATGTAATATTTTATTCAATCTCTAAGATGTGTTGAAAACAACACACGCAATATCGACTGAAAAGTGTTTGGATTTCGACCTACTCCCGTTTGTTAACTACCTACTGTATTATTTACACGAACGGCGTTGCAGGCATCTACGTAAATATTATAACGGGATTGGTTTTCGAAAACGAGCAAATTGTATTAACATGATAAATAACGCGACACGACGATATTTTGTCAAACAAAAGAATCTCG